GATTTTTCTCATGTAATTCTCATCATTCAACGTGTAATAAAATCGTCGAGACAGAGGCAAGGTACCATTGTTATCACATCCTATCAAGGACAGACACTGTCAATGTGATTTATCTTCGTTGATTTTAACTTTGATCATCTGACCTAAGATAACCTGGTCAGATGTCTACACTCTAAATTTACTCTCCCCCATCCCTTTTCTGAACTGTACTCTTTGGAAGAAAATCACCAGGTGTAGCCTTCACTTAAGGAACAGGAAATTGTGCTCTGCTTTATTAAAGGCAGAAGAGCTACACAAATTGTATAGAATTCTCTGGCATAGAAAATGTGTTTATTCTGCTCCCTGTATTTGTTTACTCAATCATATGTTTACAGTCATATGCTGTAACTACAAGTCAGTGCTACTTTATTAATTCTGTTGCTCAGATTTTTCCAGCTGAGACCATCAAGAGTTCTTTCCATTTCTACTGCATAGCTTTGGTGATTTATTGCTGGCATACTGAAAAGTAATGGATTTCTGTATGTATTACACTATTGTTATGTTTTTATATTACTCTTGCATCCTGAAACCTTGCTAGGCTCACTTAGTAGCTACACAACTTTTCAACCACCAATTCTTCAGGCTTTTCAGTATAGACAGTCATGTCATCTATAAAAGGAGCCAGTTTTGCTGCCTGCTTTCCTTTCTGCATCTCTTTTATTTTCTAATTGCACTAGCTATATTTTCCAGTGAGGCGTTGAACAGGAATAGTGAGAAGGAGCATCCTTGCCATGGTCTTGATCTTACAGGCAATTTCTTTTTTATCATTGCTAACACAGTGTTGGCTGGGGGTTATCTTACAGAGTCTTTCTCAAATTCAGAGTTCTCTATTCCTAGTCTGGTGCATGCTTTTAACATGAAAAAAATACTAAATATGAGACTAGTGGAAATCTGGGGCTGCTTACTGCTTATTTTACCATTATTGATTGAATTTGTTTACCAGATATAGAACTATTTGAGGTATCTCTAGAAATCAATTTTCAAAGAATTGATCCATTTTATCCAAACTGCAAAATTTGTGATTGCACTGTCATTTGTAGTATCTTTTTTATTACCCTTCTGATGTCCATGTTTTATGATATGAGTTACTCTTTGTCTTCTTTTTTGTTAGTCAGTCTTGCCAGATAGAAGTTTATCAGCTTACTAATCCGTTTGAAAACTCGGCTTTGGGTTTGTACGTTTTCTCCATGTGTTGTTTCTGCTTTTGATTATATCAATATCTATTCCAATTTTTTCTTATGCTTGCTTTAGTTCTAAATGCCTTTTCTTATTCATTCCCTATGGTTGAACAGGTTATTTACTTTACAGATATTTCTTTATTTATTCATATGCTGATAATGTAAAATTTCCTCTAAGCACTGCTTTCAGTGTTTTTCACCATTTGATGCTTTATTTTCATTTGAAATTAATTGAAAATATTTTTACTTGATCTTAGCCAAAAGATTGAGAAGCAATTCAAACCACTTTTATACATATTTCTCTTGAGATATTTTGGATTTATTGTTTTATGTATATGTGTGTTTAATCTCAAAATATTTAGTGATTTTTCCAAATATATTTCTGTTGTGAATTTCAAGTTTCATTTCATTGTGGCCTGAGGCCATACTTTGTACAATTTCTATTATTTTGATTGTTAAAGTGTGATTATTTATTTATTTTGGTACCAGGATCAAACATACCTTCATACTTGGCAGGCAGGCACTGTGCCACAGAGTTATATCCCTGCCCTGTTTTATGTTTTAAAATGTTCAAGAATGTCTCGGGTGGGCTTGAGAAGAATCCATGTTTTATTTTGGGTGCAAGATTCTATAAATTTCCATGAAATCAAGTTGAATGATAGAGCTATTAAGGTAAGCTATATCTCTATTGATTTTCCGTCTGCCTACTACACAGAGGAGGGTTAAATTCTCTGAGTCTCATAACAGATTTTTCTGTTCCTCCTTTGGCCATATCAGGTTTTGTCTCTCATATTTTGGTACTCTGTTGTTAGGTACATATTTCTTCAGAATTGCTATGTCATCATGGAAAATTGACCCATCTGTCATTGTGTAGCACCACTCTGTACCCCAGACAAGTGTTCTCATTCTGAAGATTTCTTTTCCTTTTTTCTTTGAATTGGTGTTATCAGGCTATCTCTTCTTCTAGCCCTTCCATGTTAACTTTTCATAATCTTTATATTGAAAGTGACTTTTGTAAAAAACACATGCTTTAGTATTGTTTAACACTTGGATAATCTTTCAGTGGACACATTAAGGCTAACACTAGCTGTGTCCATCCATCCCTGTTCTCTGCTGCTCCCTCTAGTTCTCAGCAAGCATTTTTATACTTTCATTTGATCTCCTCTTTTAGTATATCAATTACTGCAGATTTTTAAAAACCAGTGGCTGCCTGGAAGCTTACATTTTTAGCTGATCTAAGTTCATCTCTCAATAACACTGTCTGCTTCACATATAGTGCTGGTACCTCTGTAAGAATATTTCCAAGTCTTCTCTCCCACTCCTTGAAGAATTCTTGTCATTCACTTCACTTATCCATATGTTGTGGTTACCCAATACATTCTCACTATTATTACATTATACAGATATCATCTAGATTCATTAGTAATATTAATAAATAAAAGATATTATTAGTCTTCATTGATTCTTGCTCTGAGACTCTTTTCATACCTACTTATTGTCATAAATCTACATCTCCCCAAGATTCAGATCTATGTTATTCCCTTCTTTTTAAAGAACTACTTTTAACATCCATTGAAACACAGGTCTAGAAATGAATTCCGTAAGTATTCACTTGTCTGGAAATGCTTTTATTTCTCCTTCACTCTTAGAGAATATTTTTGCTGAATATAGAATTCCAGATTGGTGGGGAATTGTTCCTATCAACAACCGTACTTAAAATATCATACCACTCTGTTCTTGCCTGCGTGTTTTTCATGGAAAAATCTGACGGAATTCTTATCTGATTCTTCTCTAGCTAAGGTAGTATTTTTCTCTGGTTTCTTTCAAGATTTGTCCTTTATTTGCCTCTGATTTTCTACATTTTGAACGTGATGTACCTAGGTATAGGATTTTTATTTTGGTTTTTGGTTTTATGTCTATATTCTGCTTGATGCTCTCTTCGTTTTTTATTTCTGTGTATTGATATCTGAGATTAAGTTTAGAAAATTGTCATCTAGTATTACTCCAAAACATCCTTCCCTCCATTGTCTCTTTTTCCTTCTGGCATTTTGAATACACATATACGTTCTTAATTTTCTCTGCAGTTCTTGAATTTTCTGTTCTGGTTTAGTTGTTCTTTTTTCTCTTTACATTTGATGTTTGGAAGTTTTATTGACCTATCTTCTACCTTCTTGACTCTTTCCTCAGCCTTACTGTTTACTTCCGAGCCCATCAAAGGCTCTCTGGACTTACATTACACTTTTATTTCTAATGTCTCCTTTGTATTTTTTTCAGAATTTTTGCTTCTCTCTCAATTTGTTTCTTGCTTCTGATATTGTCTAGTTCCCCCATTAGATCCCTTTCCATACTAATCATAGTGATTTTAAGTGTTTGATAATTTCAAAATCAGTATCATGTCTGAGTCTGGCTCCAGTGCCTGCTCTTTTCTTCAAGCAGTGTTTCCTTTCTTTTTGGCATGCCTAGGAATTTCGGTTGCACAATGGCCATGTGGGTACGAGGTAATAGCGTGCCGTGAGGTTCTGCAAAGCTGCAAAGGCCCCATTAAGGTTGTGACCCAACGAATTCTTTCTCATCACGTTGTACACTTATTCCTCCAACAGTTCATTAAAATTACCACTTGTCTTATTTAACATTTACCCAGTTTACTGTTCCTAACCTATGCTCCCGTTTAGCAGATCTCAGCCATTAGTCTCATTTTTCTGCCCAGATTTTTAAATGGCCATGTGGTTCTGAAAACTCACTTCTCTCAAGGAAAGTCACTGATTCTCAGTCTGTCTAGATTTCTTCTCAGGGGATGAGAACGACAGGCAAAGTTGGAGGTCTTAGGTTCTGCAGCAGAGAGACAGAACTTTTCAGGGAAACTCGGGGCTGTACTTCATGTAAAAATTTGCGTCAAAGTGTGTTGAAATATTTTAACAACAGTATTTTATTTTATTAACAGTATTATTACATAAATTTTATTAACAGTATTATTACATAAATTTGTGGGGCCAAATGAACTTAATGCAATGAACTTAACCACCAATTTGAACAATTTTTGTTCACTAAAGCAGCTATTGCCCCAGAGTCTGTATAAGACATTTAATAAGGAAATCATAATTTTTATGAAAACATACAAGAATATAACCACCTTCAATTCCTAAGAGACTGGGGAAGAACATTCTTTCAGAAAGAATTCTTATTACTCACTGAAGCCTGATTACAGTTTCTCTTGAGGAGAGTCATGAGAATCCTATAAATTAAATGACATCCAACAAAGGTCAACCTGCTTGTTTTTAAGGCTGAATTACAAAAAAAATGCACTCAGAGAAGTTGGTGCCTTCTGCTTTACTTACTATGTTTAATTGCCTGTGCCTGTAATTCTTATTGCACTGAATACCAAAAAATGAAATCTGAAGAAAGAAGAGACTTTTCCACTTCATAATGTTCTCTTTTTTCTGAACCCACTTCTGAATGGGCACTTTGAATTATTCTGCATGTGCAATGACAGGAGATCCTGAAAAATCTCCATGACCAAATGAGGAGCACCTTCATTCTCCAGGACTCTAAGAAAAAATTAAAGAATTAAAATTGCTTTTATTTTCTATTCTTCTTATTGATTTGGGGCAGCCATCAAATGAGAAATTTTCACAAGGAGAGAACTTTTTTAAAAGCTCTCTGTGTCTCAACAGAAATAGAAATTCAAGTAGGAAGTGTGCGCTAGGGAGAAAGACACAGTCTGTGCCACACAGGCTGCGTGCACAGCTCGGCCAGATCACCCAGATTTTTCATCCATGGGCAGCTTCCTTCGCTGCCACTTATTGCTTAGGCCTCTCTGCTTAGACTGTGGGCCATGAAACATTACTCAGAAGAAACAACTTCTGCTATGCAACAATTAATATAGAAAAGACTGTAGCAATAGAAGATTCCCTACTCATGTCTCAAAAGAGAAAGCTCGAGTTCTGGAGAAGCCATGTGAGCCCAAGCCCCCACAGGTGGGGTGGACACCTGTGGGGTGGGGTGTTCCTGCCACCTTCCTGCCACCTTTCTGTTACAACGGCCCATCACCAGCAGATCAGAACACTGAGTGACTCCTACACCCCGGCACTGTTTTATTGGCATAAGGTAAGGGCTGGAGGAAGTTTGAATCACCTTGATTTCAGCATGTTCCCTTTAGCTAAGCTGCCCTTTGAGTCATGTGTTGTTTTTCCTTTGGGCCTTTAATTGCTGTTGCATGGCACATAAAAATAACCCAGGTTCCTAACATGTATATTTGCAGCAAGAACACTTGATTATATTTCTCTTCATCAATCCTATCTGCAAAGGGCACAGCATGGTGATAGAAAAGAGTGTCCTCCCAGAGAGCTTTTCCGCTTTGGGTGGGGGCTGCCAGGTGGAAACCTACTGCTTATATAAGAAAGCCCCTTAGTTCTGCAGATAAAATGAGCTCTTGGGCTCAATAGCAAGGCTGTGAGGCACTGACTGCCCTTTAGCCTGGGTCTTAGCTGGTCTCCTGTGGCTCCAATTCAAGGCTTGGCTGGCCCTGTTATTGCATCTTTCTTCCTCTCAGTTTGGTTGTGCACAGCTTTTATCAGACAAGATTTTCTCTCTGTATCCAACCCTTTCTCCAATTCAGTCAATATTTGTTTTCCGCATCATCACCACTCTTTCCTTGCTAAGTGCTAACCTCATTTTTACATTTCTTGCTTTCACCCGCTTTTATTTCTCTATTAAATTTATTTTTAAACTTTGTAATCAAAATTAGTCTTTATTTCTCTGAGTTCCTGAGTCCTCCTGCTTCCTGTGAGCCAGCTGTTGCATATCCAGTTTTACTTTACACCATAAAACATGAACTCTTTGACATGCGTGGGAGGGGTTTTTGTTTCTGGTATAAGTCTTTCCAATGATTTTTTTTTTATTGGTAAAGCTAGCTAAAGTCTATCTGGAAAAGCAATAAGAAAAGAAGTTGAGGATATCACTTAGACTTAAATACCGTCTAAGTTCATCAGTTTCTAAGAAATTTTATTCTGTCTGACAATGGTGAAAGGACACATCTGGATGCAGTGACTTGCGAACATTCTTTCCTCTGATATCAGTGAGAAATGACTCCCACTTCACACCTGCTGTTCCTTTCTGCCTTGAAAGGTGCAGCTTCTATCCGTAGCCTCACTAATCTTGCTCAGACTTTAAGCCATGAATGAACATTACTTCTTTGCAGAAATGTGCCTTGGCCCTGTAGTCCAAATTATATACTTTTATTTGCTCTTCATTTGTAGCCCAAAAGTCTCCTTTGAATCACAGACTGATACCCAACTGTCTACCTGATGTTTACCCCAGATGTCCAATAGAAACTAAAACTTAGTAAGGGCAAGCTGAAATTTTTCACCTTCCCTTTCTTATACCTGTTTTATTCTCTGGTGTCATCATCTACTTACTTAAACCAAAAACCTTAGCACTTTTAGAAGCTATGTCTGCTACGGTGATTTCAGTCCAGGTGATGTGTTACGAGAGGGCGCGCAGGAGGACCTGCAGGGTTACAAGGAAATCTGAACAATTCAGCAGACTCATGAGAAATGCAGGAACCTAACCTCAGGCTGAACAATCCAGGGCTTCTCACATGGAGGCAGAGGGCAGGCTTTGGTACACCAGCATCCACGGGTCTTTGTGACAAGCTTCCACTTACCCCAACTCCAGCGTTTGTAGGTGACTTGGTTCCACTGACTGAAATGAATTCCCCAGAGGAAGAAGGGGCCACTGAGGGCCATGAGAAAGTGGCCCTCACAGCAGTTGAGGGAAAGTCTGCCATCTTGGTGAGGACATGTCCACCATCTTGGTAAGGGCATATATTCTTGGTGAGGGGCATTTATGAAGTGCCGCAAAATCTCCTATATCACCTAGAATTCCCTTAATCCTTTCATGCATCAACACCCCCCTCAACCCACTGGAAAATCTTCATAATTTGACTCTTTTTTTAAAATTTTATTTTAAAGAGGGTAAAATTCAACACAACAAAACAGAACATAAGAAAGCAATGTAAGAGACACAGATTTCAAAGCAAGACAACAGGAGATCTTCACTATCTATCATATTGCCTCTTGTTTTCTTCCAAATAGTTGTCCATATCTTCACATACTGTAAATTCATACAAAGCAACATAGTACAAAACTGACCCAAACAGAATGATGAAGGTATTTTAGGTCTTCAAGGCCAGAGAATAAGGACGTCAACAATGGCTGTCATAGTGTCTCTCATTTTCTTCAAAATAGTTGTTCATACCTTCACGTATGTTGAAATTAACAAAACAAAACAGACTAAAATCACTCTTAACAAAGAATAATAGTATTGCTGGATTTCACATCGTGACACTACAGAATCAGCACTGGGTACCATAATGTCTCTTTTTCTTCAAAGTAGTTGTTCATTTCATCGTGCATTATATAATCAGTTCTCATGAACTGTTTAGAAGTTCTATGCATGCATGAGTCTCTACGTGTATATCTATCCTTTCTGTATTAGAGGGAAAAACAAAACAAAGCCAGACAAAACAAAACAAATTCCTAGAAAACCATGAAATGAAAAAGTCATATAAAACCACAATACAAGGTGATCTACAATGGTTACTATGATGTCTCTTGTTATCTTCAATAGAACTGTCTATATCATCAGGCATAGTATAATTTAACATAGCACTACATAGCAATATTAATAAAAACAAAACATTGGAGACATTATAAGACTTCAAAAGCAGGTAATAGTCAAACCAGAGTAGATATCCTAATGAATCTTGTCATCTTCAGAGTAGTTGCCTATACTCTCAGGCTTGATACTGTCAATCATAACAGATTTGAATAAAATCAGTCAATACAAAACAGTGATCTAACAAACCAGATTCAAATAAGATCAGTCATAATAAGACAGTGTAAGTTATACAGGGCTTCAGATTAAGTTAATAGGAAATTAAGGATTATTACCATAATATAGCCTGTTATTTTTGCTGTGTGTGCCCTCAAATCTAGTACAAGTAGACAGACTGGAACAGAATATAATCAAACTAAACAGAGTGGTGATAATAATGTGGATTTTAAATTCTGATACACTATTAACAATATCCTCTGCTCTCCTTTTTTAGATAGTCCTCTCCTTTCACTTTCACAGGATGCACTGTACCTTTTGGGTCCCACTAACTCCTTTAGTTTTTAGATGGGGGGTGGGCAACCTGCTATTTACCTAAGTGGTTCTGAACCTTTTTACCCCTGGGCTTCATCTTGAGTTGAATTCCTTTACTTAGAAAAGCCTCAAGGTTTTCCTTTGTTATAACTGAGTAGTTCTCTACTGCACAAAAGTATGTCTTTCCAAACTATCTGCAGGTGCTGGACAAGTTGCCCCTGTTTCTCTCTGGTTCCCTGTCACATAGAGCATTTTTTTCTCGTATTTGACTTTCAGTCCATAAACCCTCTTTCAGACTAATATTTCCTGTACAGAGCATCTTGATGGATCCTATCTCCTCTACCTGTGTTTCTTTTTGTTAGTTTATCAAGGCCATCTATGTTAGAGATTATAGCCAACCTTCTCTGCATTATTTCTGCTACGCTATTTTTCTGCCATTGGTTGTCTATTTTTCTCCTTAACTCCACTGTATGCCCCATTCATTGAAGCCTCTCTCCCACTGTTCTGGGAATCCTGGTGTGTTTTTTTCCTCTCTCTCTAGAATGTCCTTCAATATTTATGTAGGGTTGGATTGGTGGTCACAAACTCCCCTAGTTCTTTGTCATGGAAACACCTTGTTTCTCCATTAATTATGAGAGACAGTTTTTAGGGTACATCAATCTGGGTTAGAGATTATTTTCTTTTTAGGGCTTGGAATACTTGGCTCCAAGCTTTTCTTGATTTGATGGTTTGTGTTGAGAAGTCTGTCCTGATTCTGATGAGTTTTCCTTTATAGGTGATCTGTTTCTTTTCTCTGACAGTTTTTAATATTCTGTACTTGTGATGAATCTCTAGGATCTTGATTATTATGTGTCTGGATGTAGCTCTGTTTTGGTTGTAGCTGGCTGGAGTTCTGTATGCCACAATACATCTGAATATCATTTCCTTTTCCTATGCTTGGGAGGATTTCCTTAATTATTTCTGTGAATAACCTTTGTATTTGATTTGTGTTTACCCCTGCTTCATCACTCACATTTTTTATTCTTAAGTTATAGATCCTCTAGTTGTCTTCTAGCATTTGTATTGTTACTGCCTCTTTCCTTCTTATTTTTAAGAGATCTTTCCTTTTACAATCACACATTGCAAACCTATCTTCAAGTTTTGTTAATCTATCTCTAGTTTCTTTCAGGCAATTTCGCCAGCTTTCAATGGGGTTTTTCATTTTCTGGTAATCTCTTTGAATCTGTTTCATGTATTCTAGGGATTTTTAATATTCTTCATTGAATGTTTTTCTCCTTTTTTGTGTTCCTCCATTCTTCCTTCTGTGTTTTAAGAGGTGGTTAGCATTTCTTTTATTAATCTTCTTATATCTTGCTTTACTTATATTAGAATTTCAGTTTTGAGTTCATCTACAGGGTTACAAAGATATTTCTTTATGTCAGCTGATGCAGTGTCTGATATTGCATGTTTGCTGCTGTCGACTTCTTCTGTATTTACCTCTCCTGATCCCATTTACCCTGAGTTGGAGGCTATGGACCTTTTCTTGTTTCTTTCTCTTGTCATGTTTCTGGTTTCTTCCATACAAGTGTATGCTGGAGGTCCCAGCCCCTTTCCGTATTGGTTACGGTTCTTCTGAAGCATGCTGGCTAGGGATTGCTGCCCTCTCCAGTTTGCTGTTTATCATTGAGGTGCAAGCAGGGGTGGTGTAGGCTAGCCCCTTCCCTCTGAGCCAGTCAACCAGCAGGGGTCTTCACTACATTAGTGTGTGCCACATAGACAAAACCAGTTCAGGAGAGCTTCGGGGACAATTTCTTCCCTGACTATTGGATCCTGGCCAGGGGCGTGACCCAGCCCAAGCAGATGTCACCAATCTTCTCTGGGCAGAGAGCAACCATCTGAAGTCACTGCCATTCCTTGTTCAGGCCCATCCTATGCAATACCTATATGTCATCTGATCAGTTATCCTTTTTTTTGCTGGA